CAGAATTTCAAGAATTGTAAAACTTAGACTGCGCAAGAGTTAATGAGCGTTAATAGCTATAGATTTGAATTTTTTGTAAAGTCACTTGAAAGTATGCCTAAACCCCATTTTCTTACATCCTATAACTAGGCATGACATTGTAGACCTTGTGGTGGTCACGACGAAATCTCAAATAACCTTTTGAAAAAATATGTTTTTCAGGTATGTGAACCTTTGGCATACATCTTGAATTTATCGATGGAACGAGGAACTTTTCCCGAAAAATTGAAAGCTACATTCATTATATCAATATTTAAAAAAGGAAATAGTGATCTTTACGAGAATTATAGAGGAATAAGCTTGCTTCCAAGCATTTCAAAGAGTTTCGAGCTGCATATTGAAAAGCAATTACTATCATTTCTTTATGCTAATGAACAATCTTCACCAAATCAGCATAGTTTCACCCAGAACAAAAGTTCTGAAACGGCACTGTATGAATTCCACGAACATGTCATGAATGCTCTTGATGGCAAACTAAGTATCTGTGGTTCATTTTTTGAGCCTTCGATAATGAAAATTCACATACTTTCACTTCAGAAAATGGAACGATATGACCTGAGGGGAACCGCATTGAAATCAATGAATTCTCATTTGCATGGCAGGACCCAAAAAGTAGTGATTCGGAAAACTGTAAGTCAGTCAGCAACCATTGAATAGGGTGTTCACAAGGCTCAATTATTGGCCCCTTACTGTTCCTTATATATGCGAATGACTTGTTGCAGTTCATGAATAGTTTCACGGAAATACATGTGATTGCTTATGCAGACGACACCAACTTCCTCATCAAGGAGAGCAATGCAATAACACTTGCAGAAAAAACAGAGAATATCTATGAGCAGGTAGCAACATGGACAAAAAAAATCAACTATCACTGAACATCACGAAACCTTCATTATTGAAATTCTCGCTGAATTCTGCTCATGACAATTTTAGCATTTATGAGAACGAGGAGTTGTATGATGAATCTTGCTCAACAACAAAGATGCTTGGCCTTACACTTGACTACAAGCTCACCTGGATCCTTCACATTGAAACTTTTTGCGACAAACTATGCAGAAATTGCTATGCGCTAAGATTTATGTCAAACCACTGAAGTGAACAAGTTTTGTTGAATCTGTACTATCTGTCTGTTTGAAAAATCTACCGTCGAAGATCTGTTTAAAAAAAACTGTTTAAAATCTATTTTTCCGTTAATCAGCTGCCGCCCCCATACGAACGACAACTCTCAGAAGTTGAGAAACTTGTGCAAGCTAAGGACTAACGAGGTCTTACCTTTTTACGTGTGATTCCTAACACATTCCTATGGATCAATACACTGTCATATACAATAAGGAATACTGAACTGGGGCACTGGATCGTCTGAAGTGAGGGTTTTTACACCACAGAAATGTGTCATCAGAACTATTGCTCGTATAGGATGAATGCAATCGTGTAGAAACGTTTCCATAGAACTCAAAATACTCACCGTTGCGGGTATTTATATTTACGAATTATACATATACGTGTACAAGAACGGTCATAATTTTATATCTAATCAGCATAAATACCCTTCCCGCTCTAAAAACTTAATAATACCCCATATGTATCGAACCACCATATACCAAAAAAGCCACGTTTTTCTTGGACCAAAGTTTTACAATAAGCTTGATGATTTGGTAAAGAATGCGCCAAATGTCAATATTTTCAAATCAAGACTGAAAGCTGCTCTCATAGAAAAAAAAATGCTACATCCTTGAGAAATTTTAGGTTAGGTGTTTTTTTTTGTCTTCTTTAACATTCTCGTCACTATTTGACATTACCATTATTTTAAACTTTTCAATTATAACCATTACCCTCAATTTTACTGTTGTAGTATTTCGCTAATTTTATGTGTCTATATATATTTTTCATCTCTTCATCTCAATTCTTTGAAAATATTTAGATAAATACTTGAGTTTGAATATATGTATATGAAAAGTACAGAATCTTATGAAGTTTTCCTTGTTATTGTACTGATAGAAGTATCCACTGTTATGTACTTTTTAACAAGCGAAATAAATGAATTATTATTATTNTTTTTGTTCAATTGTTCTATTTTACCTGTATTTTATTTCACTATTATTTCATTTCAGGTTTATTTTACTTAATATAATTGTTATTCTCAGCAATTCATTTTTATTTCTTCTTTTTTAGTTTTTTCAGGGATTTCAAATCATTTTATATAGTAGACAATGGGAGTCCGAACTAGTGAAATTCATCATGAACCATTGCCAATCACCTTCAAACAAACATTATTATTATTATTATCTTTCGCTTCAACCATATTCATGCCTCAGTCACCGTATTCACCAGATTCAGCCCATTGCGTTCCGAAGATTGAAGAGACACACAAAATAGCGGCATTTCGCGACCATTGTAGAGGTAAAAACGGAATTGCTGAGAGACCTTGAAAACATACCAAAGAGTGCATAGCAGAACTGCTTCGAGGACTGGAAAAAACGCTGGCCCAAGTAAATTATATCTGAGGGGGTCTACTTTGACGGGGACAACATAGATATTGATGAATATTTGAATTATTTTTGACGAAATGAAAATTTACCTTATTTTTCGAACAGACGTCGTAGTCTTAAAGCAAAAAAATGACAACAAGTGAAGGGCTCAGAATTCGAGTGAAGCTTCTTTTTATCATTCAACACATTATTTTATATTAAGCGACAACAAAAAACCTTATTCTTCTTTACGTGAATATTTTTCTCCGACCATCATTCCTTTGGAATAAATGTGACTTGTCGTAATCATTGACACAAATGTTCTTCTCGAGGAGTTTTCGTAAGCGTTTTCCGTTGTTTTGAGTTTTACAGCGTACTCATTTAACATGCATAAAATTCAACGACCGTCTAGAGTTTTTTGTTCCAACTAGAAAGGATGTGTTGATGTTATCCCTCGAATATGTTTGTGAATCTAAAATGCCAGGTTATTACCTCAGTATTTCTTTTTCGAGAGATATGTACTTCCGAATATTTTCCATTTTATGAATATTCCTGAAAATTGATATTTCAGACGTTGTAGTGCCAACAAGTTATTCAATTTTTGGAGATATGATGTATCATCGACTGTGAGTTTGATTAGTGAATCGCTACATGGTACGTCGAGCTCGGTCGGAAAGTCACCATTCATATATCTAAAATTGAAAATTTCTTTAAAGAATTAAAAACATTTGATAGAACTGACCAATAATTTTCGAACTTCATTATAACGTATTCAAAAAACAAACTTCAATGTGAGATTTCCACTTGAAGTTTTACAAAAATACGACACGTGTTTCGCTATATAATAGCATCTTCAGGCTTCACAATACTACAAGCATTGTAGTCAGATAGAAGACAGAATGAAATATGGATTTAAATTATATTGGAACAACTTCCAGAACATTATCAAGCAGAATAACTTCACACAAATAATGACAACAAGTGAAGGGCTCAGAATTCGAGTGAAGCTTCTTTTTATCATTCAACACATTATTTTATATTAAGCGACAACAAAAGACCTTATTCTTCTTTACTTGAATATTTTTCTCCGACCATCATTCCTTTGGAATAAATGTGACTTGTCGTAATCATTGACACAAATGTTCTTCTCGAGGAGTTTTCGTAAGCGTTTTCGTAAGCGTTTTCCGTTGTTTTGAGTTCTACAGCGTACTTATTTAACATGCATAAAATTCAACGACCGTCTAGAGTTTTTTGTTCCAACAAGAAAGGATGTGTTGATGTTATCCCTCGAATATGTTTGTGAATCTAAAATGCCAGGTTATTACCTCAGTATTTGTTTTTCGAGAGATATGTGCTTTCGAATATTTTCCATTTTATGAATATTCCTGAAAATTGATATTTCAGACGTTGTAGTGCCAACAAGTTATTAAATTTTTAGAGATATTATGATGTAGGGGAGAGGTGGCATGAAAGGGACATTTTTATTCTAGAGCCTCTAATAAATAAGTGATATATTATTTTAAACAGGTTGGAGTTGAATGGGAAGCCTCCATTAGTTTACTATTGAAATAAAATACAGTAATTATTCATTCTTGGTTCTGAGTCATTTATTTTTGCAGTCTTCAAAAATGTATGTTTTGTCCCTTTCATAAATGGCCCGTATTGAAAGGGACGTGATTATTCATGAAGAGGACAGTACATAATAGGCATCTAAAAAAATTAGGTTGAATGTTCCATCTTAACCCGTTACACGGAACACCTCTGAGTTATGGTACCCAAGGAACATCCGTCATAATGACAGCTATCAGCGTAGAGTGGTATAGTTACTGCATTACTTGTGTAAAGCACTGCATATTTTCAAATAAATATGAGTACAGGCTTTACAGTTAGCCTTACAGTTATGAGTAAGGTCATTTGATTGATTACTGGGCTAAAAAAAGTCAAAATGTGAAATAAAACATTTGTTTTCCATTCGACATCATTTTTCAAATTACAAAATCAGTCTTTATTTTCGGCTTAGCTTTTCATATAACTTATTGGCATAAAAATAACTTGAGCCATCTAAAAACAACTAAAAAATAACAGCTTTACCGAAATGAGTAGGTAGTGTAAAAACCATAATGGATATTATCATAAAAAAGGAACTTCAAAACAACAAAAATGAAGATATTCTTACATTCGTCTAGGTTGAAAAATATCACATTGTTTACCAAAAAGTATGTTACTCACATGTCAGTAAATATTTCTAGAAAACTGGTAACTTACAGATACTTATCACATTTCATTGAACACATTGTTTACACAATTTTCTGGAACATTCTGCACATACAGGTGTATCGCATTTGATGCACTCGTACCCCGCTCTTCTTTTTTTCTGGTAAGGACACAGTCTACAATTCAATCCCCGTTCAAGTTTATCACTTCTTGATCCTACGGAAGGTGTTTATTGCCGCGAATTTCTATCAGGTGGTTGCCGTTGTTCAGTTTCTTGTTTCAGTTGTTCAGTTGTTTGAGAATCAGACCATATGCCACTGCTCTAGTAAAATCATAGCTAGTGGTTGCTTTATTATCTTTGAACATTTTATGCAGGATATGGGCATTTGAGCCGGTCACAGCAAGTAAGTGGTAAAAAACCACAAGAGGCCATCTTCTTGATTTCCGGTTGGCACAGTAATTACTACACTTGAAGTCGAGTGTATCAACGCCACCCTTTGTGGCATTATAAGAACTGATTATTTCAGGTTTACATGTCGCCTCATCTGTATGTGCAGTATGATGCATAGATGAAAGTAGCACCACTGCTTTCATTTTCTTAGGAGCGAAAGACAGCAATGTAAGGTCTTTGGTATATCCGTAAAGATTTGAAGGTATTTCTCTGTCTTTGCTTGTTTGAAATTCGGTGGGAATTTGGTGTTTATTTTTTTTCATAGTTCCTACCAGCGTCAACCCGTTTTTCAGCAATACTTGGGCCAATTCCACTGAGACGAACCAGTTATCACAAGTGATGTTCCTATGGCTTTCGAATATATCTTTTGCTAGGCGAACTACAGCCTGAGTAGGAATCAATAGTTTTTTTTTCGTTGGTAGAAAGTGTGTACCCATCTGAGCCTTTTCTCGTGTACATATACGCATGTACGCGTTATGAGCGTCTGCCATGACCATAATTTTCACACCATACTTAGCAGGTTTTTGGGGATTATAAACAAGAAAACTTATCCTGCCTCTAAAAGGTACCAGGGTCTCATCTACTGTCATATGGGCTCCCGGTTCATAATTTTCTTACAATTTGATGTGAATGTAATGAAAAATTCCGAAATGCAAGCACCCTTGTCTATTTTTTCCCGATTTCCTCTGGTGGCACTATCATCAAATCTTAGTGATCTAAGTAGCACACAGCACCGTTTTTGCGTCATTATTGCACGGAATATCAGACGCCCAGAAGTTGTGGTTGGAAATAAAGATGATAACGGTTCACGGGACGATTTGAAACTAGAACAGAAAAGCAATAAACCAAATAAAGCATCTATTTCGACAGGATCGGTGTCCTTGTAACACAAGTCCTTGTTTTCTAATTTCAAACGCATATTATCCAACTTCTCATTGATGTAATAAATAAACGCCACACTTCTTCAGGGGTGGGTCTTGTCCCGAAAGTTAGTGCTGGTCCCTTTAGTTTTTAAAGCCTAACTTTTATCACGTTACGCGATGCAGCTTGTGCAGCATATTGCTGAGGCAGGGATGACCAGAAGAAACAGTTTTTTCTACCAAAATAGGTTCAGTTTCTTCACTATCAGCGTCATACTCTCTTTCTGAATCGTCACCGTCACTTTCGAGAATTCATCGAACAACACCTCTTCGTCGAGCTGAAACATTATCCTCTTCGTCTGAAGAGACATCCATGCTCTGGTGAGAAGTTGATGGTGGTAAACTAAACTCCTTTTGATGTGAAAACTGTAATGTATTATTGACAGTAACAAGAGGAGGGAAAGGTTCTTCCAGAAGGACGTCGCTACAGTCAGACAGTAAACCATTACTCACTTCATTGTCAGGAACAGAAGGGAGAATCGTCGTTTCTTCTGGAACATGCGAGTCATCAGACTCGCAGATAACGATCGGATTTATGGAACTTTGCACATAATATCTGTTCTCTTCTTTTATGGTGGGCCACACAGTTCTTCCACACATCACTATTACCTACTTCATTCACCACTCCCCTTATATTGTCAAGCACTACAGCATTCAAAGTCGGTGACTATACATTTCCGCAAGCTTTCTTTCATTGTGGCACAAAAAAATATTCATGTTGCATGAAAACGTCTACGAGTGAACATATTCAACCACTTCAAAGAAAACAAAATTGTGGGCCAAACCATTCCAATTGGATTGAACACACAATAGTATGGAGGCAAACGTAAGAGAATATGACCACGTGTTTCACACATCGAATCAATCATATACTTTCTTTTGAAATTACGTTGTTTTATGGTGGCCAGTGATACCTTTTTCGTTGGAATCTTTTCGGGTATTTCCATGTCATGATTTCGCATGAAATCAACAATATCTGCTTTCTTTGTGTTATTGTTTGGTATTGTAGTCAATAACCGAGTTTGGAGGAATATTTGGGAGAAGCTGCTCCTGAAACAGGTTTCGAATAAAGCCGCAGTCATATCTTCGTGGTAGCAGCAGACGATATTTTATATTTTTGGCCGACAGAAGCGAAGCGTTAGGTACGAAACCACTTTAATTCCCGGCATGCAAAATTATAACACGTTTTCCCCTTGAAGAAGGTGTGTTCAAAGCACAATACTTGTTTCGTCTACCCAGCCATATTTGACAACTTCATGGGTGTCAAACCAAGTTCCGTCGAGGTATATTATATGTCTGCTGGATTCTCGGTAGCTTTTCATTCGCCTCAAATATTCTTGTCGTAGTTGAACGATGCGTGTCGATTCCATTATGACCATCCGATTGTTTAATTTTTTATATTTGAAACCACAAGACAATAAGACACCTCGTAGAGTTTCTAAAGATTTTTAATTGTAATCGGGATAGTCGAGTAATTTATACCGAATCATTTTCAAGGTTGGTATTTAATTTTTTTGGTATATACCATAAATTGTTCGCCTAATCACATCTTTTGTAGCACCATCAACGTTTGCATGCCTTTGTTTTTGTTTCATTGCATGGTAAATGACATCCCCTATTCAATGACTCGAAGAACTGTCGAACGAGATAGTTTCGTTAACTCGCATATTCTATTCACAATAGCATTCTGTGAAGTGTGGCAGTTTTCCTTCTTTAAGTATTCATTAATATTTTAAATTACTTGCTGAACTTGAACATGTAAGTCCTTATTTTCAAATTCCGGACCTAATACTTTTGCACTCGACGCGCGTTTCGCTAACAAGGTTAGCATCTTCAGGAGAAGCAAATTGATACCGAATCTGAAGACAAGGGTTAACTGTTCATATACCTAAAGTTTTTTGGTCCGATGTGGACTTTGTTAAATGATGATTATCCTAATTGATTTTTCGGTAATTAACTAGTGGAACTACTACCTGCAAATTAATTTATTCGCTTCCTAATCTTTCGTTGACAAATTAATTTGTAAGTAGTAGTTCAACTAGTTAATTACCGAAAAATGAATTAGGATAATCATCATTCAACAAACAAAGTCCACATCGGACCAAAAAACTTTAGGTAGGTATTTAAACAGCTAACCCTTGTCTTCAGATTCAGTATCAATTTGCTTCTCCTGAAGGTTTTAACCCTGTCAGCGAAACGCGCGTCGAGTGCAAAAATATCAGTTTGGTGTTAGGGTAATTGATCTCTAGAAAAAGTTTTCAAAAATTGGTTTGCAAAACCACTCACTACTTCACCTAACCCTACGAACACACGGCACTTGTAAAGAAATATTGTGAAACGGACAAACAATTAGTATTCAGCCAGTCCAACTAGCCGAGCTTTTATTCCTCAACTATATTGATAGCACGTTTACCAACTATCTGGGCGACTAGGGGACACAGACAAGAAATGTTTATGACTGTACTCTTATTTTTATTGCCGTTCCAATTAGGAATGGATAGACTATACAACAAATATAGTTACCATTTTCTTATGATTTATAATCGTTGAAATATATCTTTGTTTATGAATCAACGCTTCACGCCCGTATTCTCTGATGTTATTATCGCTACCCAGCATATAAATAGATTCACGTAAACAATTCTGGAAAAGTCCTAGAGTTCTTGAAATGTGAAAACGCATTGTTGAACTGAAAATTCATCAACATGTAGGCGTTCGATATCCTTAAATGTCATCAACAATGGATTGATAAACATGTTATTCGATTTGAATCAAAATCATGACTTTTGTTTCTTTTGTATTTGCATCAATTAATCAGTTTTCAAACAGTGATTTATTCAACTCAAATGAGTTTATGAAATTAATCCATCATGAATTATCTGATAGGGATCGAGAAATAAATCTATAATGTTTTGTTATTGACAGTATTCAGTTATATCTCTGATAAATTATACATCAAAACTCGTCTGTTAGACAAACGACAGTTGTATTTTTATGCTCTAGCACTAAATATCATACAAATAGACTTACGGCATCGCTTCCTTCACATCAGTATCACACCCGTCAAAGAGATCAGTATACTACACCCCTAATGGTCAGGGTCGTTGAACTAGAACTTCTACGTCTATTCGAGTAGATGGAAAAAAACCATATGTACCTTTGCTATATTGTTACAATTCTGTAAATCATATGTGTTCATATATGTATGTATATACACTGTGACCCATTTTTTAATGGAAACACCCCCCTAAATTTGAAGTTGTGAACCGATTTCAATAATTTTTTTTTAAATGTCAAGTACTAAAAGGTCTACCTTGGGACAACATTTGAAATGTGTATTACAGTCTCAGGGCATATTACGATATTTTTTCTTAGTCGAAAATCGGGATTTTTTATTAGCGATTTTTTCATTGAAAAAATCACTACGCCACTGGATTGAGAGTGCCTCTAAACAGGTATGACCAAACTTTCATGAAAAAATATTCATTATTAACAAAGTTATGACAACTCGAAAATTCGAAAACTCACACAGCTAACAGTCACAAAAAACACCCTATATCAACAGATATAGCCATGGGAATAT